CTTTTCGACATGGTAATGCTGCTTCAGTCCTTGGAACTAACATTGCATTGCCCTCCTTTCAGTACGGAACTACAATCTCTTCAAAACAAGTCGAGATATGTGTATGTCAATCAGTCTCCTATCAATGGTAATTAGCAAGTGATTGATCCACCTTCTTCTTTTTCAGTGTGGTCAATGGACATAGGTCATTCTTGCCCCCCAAATATAAGCTGCAGTCCTTGTGGTTTTGGAGCTTCAAGGAGCAAGAGCCGAATCGATCCCTCTACGAAACCTTTCTTCACTTGGAAGGATCAATTGCAGCTTGAGAAATGGTTCTGATGCAGTTTTTGTGGAACATGTTCTTTCTTACGAATCAGTAGACAGTTGTCCTGAAAATCTTGCGAAGAAAATAGGATTAGATATTTTTTAGGAAACACTTTCTACATGAAGAGCATTTTACGAGTGTTATTCATAACGAAGAATTTCAAGAACAAGCTTTTGAAGATTAACAAGAACGAGAATGTTTCCTACTTATTCACCAAATTCAAACACCTGTTCACGCAGCTGCGGTTTCGTAAGAATGTATCATCTTTATCACCAACCGATTTCCTAGAGTCTTTGAAGTCCACTAGATACTCGTTAAGACAACAAGAGGATTGTCCCGAATTCTTGGGGTTCTTGTTGAATACTTTTCATAAGCAGAAAAATAGCAGAATCAATACTCCTGACCGCTCTGGATTGAATGATTCCGTACAGTCTATCTCGTCTTGTGTTTGTAGATCTTTTGCTGGAAAAATCCTCACCAGTTTACTTGTAGTTCATGTGCAAGAGGTAGCAAAGACGTATGGGACATTCTAGAACCTCAACTAGCGTATCCTAATATGACTGTCCGTGCAAACCTTGTTATTGAATCATCTGAAAATATAACTTCCAACGGGTGATGATCAACTGTATTGCCAAATATACGCCAAACTTACTGAGTATTATGAAACAACAAGTATAGCTGAGGCACCAGTCAATCTAATAGTAACACTGCTGATCTTCAAACATGACATGGAAGCACCAAACTCTTAAGACGGTTCGACATAGATGAATACTTCAATCTAGCAGATCACTATTATAATCCTAACGCAAAATTGAAACAGTATTCAATTTATCTCTGAAATTACTTATCATTGCCACCATAGTTGACTATTACTTTTATTCGAAATTTTTGATATGATGCTGGGGAAGGGGTTGCTAACAATGAGATGATTTTCACACAAATTCATTCTCATGAAACTATAGTTCACGTTTCTTTGCAGTCTCATCATCAAATGACTTATTCAAACTGAAATGTAGGCTTTCCCGGCGTTTGGTTGGTTCCGGGTTTTGCGTAATCAACTGAAACTAAAAGTTTCGTTGATACGTCAAGAAGAGTACTTCGAACACAGCACTGAAGATGACTGTCGCAGTTGTAGTTGAAACGTTTTGAGGTTTTAACCAAAGAAGTTCGCAGCAAAACCTTGAAAGTAACCAAAGTATGAAGTGCACTCTATATTGATGAAGAAGTAGGGAGCTAAAACGTTTTCACTCGAAAATGTATCGCAAGAAGTTTTCTTTCGATAGAATTGCACCAACAACTTCGTTAAAACTGTTCTAGTTGTTGTCAATTGCAGGTTTCTATAGCAATTCCTTTCAACTACTCACTCACTGAAAGTTGACGCAGCAAACTCGAAAATTTCCAGACGTACAAAAACCAACTCTGGAACGAATTACACATTTTAGAGTGTAACCACTCCGATACTACAATACCCGCAAGTTTACAATAATGCCAGAGAAACTTTCTCGAACAAAACAAGTGAACAAAGTTTGACATTTAATTTAAACCATCCCAATCTCGGCCCGACTGGGAAAATTATCTCCGCCCTAATTTTTGAGATGAGAGTCGAACTACTCCGGGGGATATAATTTCGTGAATATATTAATATTCCCGGTGCGGGGAGACCGCAAAGAGAATGGAAAGTAGGCTGTCACCTGTTATAGTCGCTGAGATGGATGGCATACTTCGCTTGATTAATTCATTTCATCTTCTAGGAGAGATCCATCATGCAGTTGGTGACTTGTCTATATAATTATGGAAGGAACTAATGAAGAAGATATGAAAACAATACAAGAGTCCGCAGAGCTTTAGCAAACAACAGTTCTCCCAAGTATTTTCCTAAGCACTAAATTCTACATATATATGAGGTTGTTTCAAAAGTTTTCTCCGTGTCAATGTCATCACAAACGGTGCGTGAGATAGCGGAAGAACTGGGTGTGGGCTCACATGCGGTTTTTGATGGTTTGAAACGTATTGAAAAGGTCAAAAATTGTCATATTTCGAGGTCTGTTCTTTGATTTTTCGTAACCAAAAAAATCTTTTTTTTGGATTGAATTGTCACGTGTGATGAAAAGTGGATAGTCTACGACAACAGGAGACATGCAGAACTGTGGTTGGACTTCGATGAGCCACACAGACACTTCCCAAAAGTAAATTTCCACAAAAAAACCATGATGAATCATACATTTTTTTAAAACTCGCTTACTCTAACAGCATTTATGACCCTGTGCTTGCTCCAAACTGCTGTAGCTAGGCTACAAAAAGCCTAGAGGTCATATGTGACATTTTTCACGTAATCAATGACTACATCAGTTCGAAGATGAGAGAATCGAGCTGATTGAGATTGACAAATGTACTAGCTGTAAGCCACGACGTTATCGCTCTTGGGTTGCTTATCTTCATGAACTAAAAGCCCGTAACGTAATATACCAGTCATATCGTAACGTAACCGAATGTAGAAGAAAATAACGTAGCACACATAGGTAGTTCAGCCAATGGCCCGTAACGTAACAATATATATGTTTGACTCGTCGAGAGATGAAACGCTCCGTTTTCGTAAGCATTTTGACTCTTGGTCGTATCAATCATACCGTAACATGACTGAACGAGGTAGGAAATAACGTCGCATACAAAGGTGGTGTAGCTTATAGGCGCCTATCTATATGAACCAATGGCTCGTAACGTAACTACATATACGTTTGATTCGTAGAGAGATGTAAGGATCCACTTTCGAAAGCATTTTGACTCCTTGTTGTATCAATCATACCGTAACGTAACGTAAGGAAATAACGTCGCATACATAGGTGATTCTGCTGATAGGCGCGTATCCATATGTATCGATGGCCCGTAACGTAACGTGACATATATGTGTGACAAAACACATCTATTCATTTCCAGTTTAACTAGTATCGTTTCGCCATCTGGTGAATTTTCTCGGTAACTCATCCGCTGCAGTGGAGGCCGATTCCTGTTATTTACAGTTTTCTGCCGCCCTTAATCAAGTAGCAACGGCTCTTATGCCCTCCGGGATAGGCAACCAATATTTCACTTTGATGGGTTTTTTGCATTTGCAAAGTATTTCCAGAGTCGGGTTTTTTATGAACGACTGTCGAGATTCTTTTTCGGCTCTAGAGACCTGAGTGAAAACGTTTTTGATGCGCCATATTTGCTCGATTGTTAGAAGATTTTTCTTGCTTGCTTTTTAAAGTGAACTTCGTTCTAAATTACCTCACTGTGGTCCTTAAGGACAAGATTCACCGTCGAGTCCCGTGCCTGTAATTATTTTAGGTGGGTAATGATTTCTATTACTATAGATGATGTAACACCCGTGTGAAGTTTTTAATAATTACTTTTATCAATTTTTTCGAAACATTTGTAATTATTTGAGAACCAAGTTAACAACCAAATAAGTACTCTGTCTCCCCCTCGAACTGAAAATAGACTGTTTCGCACCCTATCCTGTGTCTCATTGGATCAGCAGCAAACCCTTTCAAAAAACCCTGAGTTTGAACCCTTACATATGTTTGACTCGTCAAGAGATGTTACGATCCACTTTCGAAAGTATTTTGACTCCCTGTTGTATCAATCATACCGTAACGTAACTGAACGAAGTAGGAAATAACGTCGCATACATAGGTGGTTCAGCTTATAGGCGCCTAACCATATGAATCAATGACTCGTAACGTAACTATATATATCTTTGATTCGTCGAGAGATGTTACGATCCACTTTCGAAAGCATTTTGACTCCTTGATGTATCAATCATACCGTAACGTAACTGAACGAGGTAGGAAATAACGTCGCATACATAGGTGATTCACCTTATAGGCGCGTATCCATATGTGTCAATGGCCCGTAACGTAACAACATATATGTTTGACTCGTCCAGAGATAATACTGTCCGCATTGGGAAGCATTTTTGACTTTTGGTCGTATCAATCATATCGTAAAGTAACTGAACGAGGTAGAAAATTGATAAATTGATGGATGTAGCCGTTACTACGTGGTAGGAGATCATAATGAGAAGAGAAATGAAAATTTCTATGTTGTTTACCACTTTTAATCGTAGGTAACGTTACATAGAAATTTTCATTTCTCTTTGCAGTAGAAATTGATGTCAAATACATAGGTGGCTCAGCCAATGGTGGTTCATCCAATCGCCCGTAACGTAACAATATATATGTTTGACTCGTCGAGAGATGATATGGTCCGCTTCCGAAAACATTTCGACTTTTGGTTGTATCAATCATGCCGTAACGTAACTGAACGAGGTACGAAGGAAAGCTGCATGTAACGATGGTTCAGCTCATAGGCGTGTATTCATTCATTTCAGACAATTGCCAGTAAAGTAACACCGAACATGTTTGTCTCGTTGCGAAAAAAACATAGTTTAATGCGAGGCCAACGGCTAAAAACTGACAAATGTTGGTTTGACCCGTTAAGTTACACGTGTCATAGTGGTATTTCGTCTCCACTAGCCGTAACCGAACATGTTACGTTACAAGTCATTTGTTATAGATTTTGATAACAACTTGGTTTGTGAAATGAAGAATAGTTCATGTATAGTAGAAGAGTTTTCGTTGAAGTAAAAAATTTCCATTACTTTGTTTTTGATTGATGCGTTAGGTGACAGAAAAATGTAACATGAAAAATCACATACCTGATACTGAGTGCAGTTGAAGCAGTGCCAGCAACAACTCTCCCCCTCGACATACTTTTTCGCTTGGCCTAAGTGACAGGGGAAGCTGCACACTGATTCTGGTAGAGTTGGATGACCAGCCTTGAACTGAATAGCTGGAACAAATCAAAGACAATCGTCATTACACGAAGTAACATGAACAGACCATCTTATATTTCTTCATAGCTGATTCTTCATTCTGGAGACCCAATTTCATATAGGACGACTGGAAATCTCTTTTCTGCCATATTCTGGAAAGCTGTTTCCCATTTACCAAAAATATAAATGCAGAAAGAACTCACAAAGATGAGTTATTTATTTATTAGCAAATGTCGAATTGTCAAATGTCATTATTTTACCGCAGTTGGCAACCATGGGGTCGCATCACTTAATAAGGTCAATTGAGATGAACGTGGGAATAGTGTTGAAATAAGTCGTAGTTTCTTCCAAAAAAGGCATATTTACAATTCACGTATTTACCGTGAGATGGCGACGTGACACTTTTGTTTTGTACAGGTAAGCGCGGCATCCATTCCGCTATAGTGTCACCACAAAGCACGTATATATAGAGAAAACTATTGAATTGGCCCTAGCAGAACTTGGTTTTAGTTCTGTCAACGGATCCGGTATGGCGTTGTAGTCGAATATCTGTTTCTGTAGGTAAAACAGAGTACTTACTATCCGATATCCAACGGTCAAACGTCAAATCATTATTCGTGCTTTGTGTATTCATCCTGTCATTATCATCCGATCCGACTGACAATGAAACAAATGATGTGTACGTACAGGTATGAATTAGAATGTGTCTGTTGTCAATATCAGTAATCAGTTCAAAGGGTAAGGGAGCCAGGCTCCAACCTGTTGGAAATCAAGATGACGTGCAGGTCAATATCAGTTAACTTTTGTATTTCAATTCATTCATTTCGTTATTCGTGTGTTTGATTTTGAAAACGAAGTCAGGCAGTGTTCGCCCTCGAAGTGTTGTGTGCCAAACTGTAATTATTTGCAGAGTAAACGTCATCGGTTTCCTCAACCAGAACTTGAGCCTGTACTTTTTGAATTGTGGATGGAAAAAGTTAACAATCCGTTACTGAACAATAAAACGAAGGAAGAGATTCATAAAAGTCATTTTGTGTCTCACGTTCATTTTAAAAGTGAGTTCAAAGTAGTTAGCCACAAAAGCCTTTCAATAGTTGCAGCTGGTTTATTTGAGAATTGTGATGTTCTGATATTGTTATGCTCTTGTTATTATCGTAATTTAGTCTGTGTATGCACTCTAACATCGACTGTTTTTAGTGCAATTTCAATTCTGACTTTGACGTCTGATCCTACAAATACATTTGTATTACATTCTTTTTCAATTTTTATTTCCTCATCATTGTTCATTATTGAACCTACTTTTGAATATCATAAACTTCAGTTCAGCTTAGTTCGAGTACGAACTTGCAAACAGAACTGATACATTTTAGCTTCTTATGGGAGTTTTGATTCATATTTATTTTCACCTTTATACTTTTTAGTCCAGAGAACATTGAGCAATGGTCAAGTATTTCCTTCTCAGGTTTTGCTTGAGAATTCAATATTTTATTAGTATATTGAGTACTTATTCTATAATATTATGTTGAAAAATAAGCTATTTTCAAGCGAGACACGAAAGAAAATACATGATCCAATGGTCTCTGAATGAGCCCAATAATAGGCGTAGTATTTTAAATTTGCCGCGTTTGGATATCTTCTTGTGTCCAGCAGAAGAGGCGCAGACTCGTCCAATGACGCCAGTATCAGTGTTCTATAGTCCTATCCTGGCCACAGGACATTTCATTCTATATATAGGTGTTCTGAGTGTCAATTGTGAGGTTATAACAGCCCACACGTAGAGTTTGCTTCTGAAAAGAGCACAGTTCGAATTGTGACAGTATTTGTGTGAATTATTAGTTGAATCTAACTATTGTAATGAGTAAAATACTTCCCTTTTTTGTGTTGTGACGGTTTTATCGAAATTTCCAATGATAAAAGTAATTTTGTGTGGTGCCAAACAGTGTTACACTGAAAATTGAAAACTGGCTCAACAGAATGCTACTTTTTGCACGAAGGTCACGGAAATAGTGGAACTGATGAAATAGGTTCTTGTGTCCTTGATTTTATGTAAATAATATAGTACAATGCAAGATAATACATGCAAGACATTTTTATTGTAACCAATGTTTACCAAATATTTCAGTTTTGACGAAAATTAATATATTACAAACCAGATTCAATTCATAAATTCATTTCTGTGCTAATCTCATCACGAATGTAATTATCTTACTGCAGATGGCTTAGAAAAACTATTGAATCACAGTTATTTACCTTTACCGAGCATGATTTACGATTTTAAATCGGATTGTGCGGACTTTTGACATGAATTTCTCGCTAAACAACTCCATTAAATTGGCAACACTGCTGGAGTGTCTCTCACGAACTCGTTTCACCAGATAAACTCAGAGGATGGAAGAAACATTGTTTGTTTTACGGCCGACAATAAAAAACCCATCTACCGAGATATGACTAAGTTCAATTGTAGCTTTCGATAAAAAGGAGGATTATAGGAGTCGATGCCGGCAGCAAAAACCATCAAGTTGAAAGGATTCGGACCAATTCGGCAAAAAACATAACATCATAAAGACGATCATTATACTGGTACTTTAGACGAGATGAAATATCCCGTATTGACGGTGGAAATAAATCTTTGAACGGGGGTGTTATGGTAGTTTTTGTAAAGGAAAGATCTACCGAAAATGCAACCGTGGGTTGGGCTACCTATCGGGCGCGTCCCCAGGTGGCGGATAGGGGGACGGCCAGGGGACTAGTGGTCCGGGAAGCCAATGTGGCCTTAAGGACGGGATCGCCGGGTTCCTGGTAAGTGGCAAAAATAAGTAGGGTGAGGGGAACTGAAACTCCCCAAAAGTCTTTGAAAAACATGCCACCGTAGACCAGTCTACCCAAGCTAAGGTGTAAGGAATCGTGAATGGCCGCAGGGTGATATGCGGTCACGAATCAGTCTAACTTTGGTAATGCGGGGCTCTGCTAGAGGGGAACACACATGAATGAAATAAACACAAAAACAGAAACAACAGAAACAAAAATCAATCTCGAGGCTGGACAGAAGTGCTCACCTCAATCTAAGGCGGTGGCTGGGGATGAACAGAAATGTCCACTCCAATCAACCGCTTGAAATGAGGCTGGACATAGCAGATCACCTCGTGATGGCTGAGGCCAAAAGGAGGAAGAGAGCGAAAGACGCAGGAGTTGCAGCAAATATAAGTGCACCCTCCTCTTCCCTCACTCCACTTCCACCACTCAACCACAAAAAGGGCACTTCCTGCGGCGGGCGCCAAGAGCTCCGCCTTGAATAACGGCAAGGAACCGATTACCCCCGCAGGAAAGCTCCCTCACTTGTGCACCTCTACGGAAGGAACCACAAGAAGGTTGAAGAAGCCGCGCAACGACAGTAATGTCGCTGCACCTTCTAAAACTTTCGCGGATATCACCGTGAGACACCTCGAGGTTGCCAAAGAGAGTGTGTGTTCGGCGAGTCTTGGCCTACACCTGCCAATATAAAGGAGATGTCTACTAGTGACCTATTCACCTTCCTGGAAAGGACAGGATGGACGATGACCTAGGAGGACAACTCCTCGGGAGGATGTACAATGGGTCACATGTGGTCTAAGTGCTGTGTCGACACCCACCCTCCGTACTCACATAAGATCAGCAGTGAGAAGTTGTTGGAACAGATGCCAATTTTGCAAAAATAAAAGGGCAAAACCAGAATTACCAGAGATGGCACCGTTACCGAATTCTCGTCTAACCTCATTTGTTCGACCTCTCACCATAGTCGGAATGGACTATTTTGGGCCTATGAATGTTTCTGTTGGCCGAAGACATGGAAAAAGATACGGAGTACTGTTTACATGCATGAGCACCCGTGCAGTTCATCTTGAAATGGCATACTCTTTGAGTACAGATTCGGCAATAATGGCAATCAGGAGACTGATTGGTCGTAGAGGGTGTCCCAAAAAGGTATTTCCCGATCATTGCACGAATCTGAGGGGAGCAGCAAATGAACTTTACTGTTTACATGCATGAGTACCCGTGCAGTTCATCTTGAAATGGCATACTCTTTGAGTACAGATTCGGCAATAATGGCAATCAGGAAACTAATTGGTCGTAGAGAATGTCCCAAAAAGGTATTTTCCGATAATGGCACGAACCTGAGGGGAACAACAAATGTACTTAAGAGAGCCTTAAAAGATTCGGACCAGAATGAGTTAATTTCGAACTTAACCACTGACAACATTCAATTCAATTTCATACCCCCTTCTGCTCCACATATGGAAGGGAGTTGGGAGAGACCAATTAGATCCATTAAAACTACTTTGAATGTTATTCTCAAAGAAACATTTCCACGAGACAAATTTCTGCAGACTTGATTAATCGAAGCCGAATCCATTGTCAACAGCCGTCCACGGATTCACGTGTCACTCGACCAAGCCGACAGTGAAGCCCTGACACCAAATCACTTTTTAATTGGAACATCAAGTGTAACTCAGATCCCAGGTGAGTTCGAAGAAACTGATTTATCCACTAGAAATCGGATCATTTTTGGAGACGATGGATAAAGGAATATCTACCTGTTATTTTTTTTTAATTTTATTTGACTACGTTACGTAGTCAAATAAAACCAGACTGAAATATATATAAATAAAATACAAATTACCTAAACGCACATACAGTCGTGCAGTATTGCCAAAGGCAATATTTGAAATAGAGAAAAATTCTTCATATATATAATTTCAACAAGTGGGTCCTGCATATCAATGTCCAGTGTTCTATATGTCCATGTGAGAAGAGGCAAATTCTTCCACAGAGTAGAAACAATTTTTGAGAAGGTAACATTTTTGTTTTTTTTTTGAAATTCTGTAGTGGGAGCTGCCTTATTCTCTCCGGTATTTTATTGTAAAGCCCTAGGGGAGGGGAGTTGTTTTTTGATTTTGTAAGTCGAAAAGACTGTGTTTTCATGAGATTAGATGAACGAGTGTTGTAGGTATGGGATTCTGACATTAGTGTAAAATTATTT